AGTTTGATCGTCAGTAGAGTCCCTTATTATTTTCTGTCTCAGTTTGATCGTCAGTAGAGTCTCTTTTTATTTTCTGTCTCAGTTTGATTACACAGGCCAACAAAAAAAAGTTTTTTTTTTTGGTGCCTCAAATGTTAGAGCTGATTCTTATAGTATTTTTTGCGCTGATTTCAAATCTGCAAACCATTTTTTTGTATCAGCTCTAGTTTTTGAGATACAAAGAAATTGCCGAAACCAGGTCCATTCGAGGTCGTCACGGAAAAGAACTTTTCACAGTGTCAACTAATGTCCCAACTAAGGCCGAATGGGTCTTGTAAGTTTGTATGTACGAGTAGTCATATCTCATTAAAATAACATTCGGAATTGTATTACTCTTTTGTACTTTCGTTCCTTATATTAGGTGCGCAACTAAGTTCTTGCTGTTTGTCAGTATATGGCTCTATCAGTAAGGGTTGGTCGATTTTGACAAATCCAAAACGTCTTGAAACAAGCTTAGACTAAGTAAACAAACTGCTGCGGCACATAATTGATTTCGTTTTTGCATTATATACATCTGGTTAAGTGAATATGTCCAATTTTATGCCAAACAATCGTCATTTGCGAAGAGTGTTGATTTTCGTCTTCCATTCAAAAAAAAACGGGAGCTGAAGTGCATCCAAAGCTACGGGAATGTTGCTATGAGCGAAACAACATGTCGTGAAGGGTTTTGTCGCTTCAAAAATGGTGATTTTGATGTTGACGACCACCCTCGTGAAAGAAGGCCAAAACCTTCAAAAACGCTAAATTGAAGGCCTTGTTCGAAGAGGATTCGTGCCAAACTCAAGAAGATCTTGCTTTAAAATTAGGAGTTACCCATCAAACCATTTCCAAGCTATAGCATGCGTCGGGGATGATTTAGAAGCAAGAAACTTCGGTTTCTTGTGAGTTGAAGTCAAGAGACGTCGAGCATCGTTTTTTCGCCTGTAAACAACTGCTCCAGCGGCGAGAAAAGAAGAGGTTCTTTATCACATCGTGACAGGTGATAAAAAATGAATACATTACAGCAATCCAAAGACGAGAAAATCTCGGTTTGGCCGAATATTCACTGCGAAGGTTATGCTCTACATATGGTGGGACCAGGTCGGTGTTATTTGTTATGAGCTGTTGAAACCGAGTGAAACCATCACTGGAGAACTGTATCGAACTCAATTGATGCATTTTTTTATAATAAAGTTACATTTTCATCGAAAAAACAGCGAGAACTTAGTTGCGCACCTAATATCGTAAAATATATCATATATATCGTATCTTGAAAACTAAAGCTCATAGAAAAAAACCAATGTCATTTTTGAAATCAGCGCCCCAAATATACTTAAAAACAGCATTAAAATCGTTTGCACCATTTCCTTTGTTGACCTGTGTTATCATCAGCATAGCCGGATTTTTTTTTTCTAAATTTTCTAGTCAATAGAGTACTATTTGTAATTTATCTCTTTTTTTGTTCTATTTCTTTTTGTTTCAAAATATTAGTTTACTCGTCAGTAGAGTCCTTTTTTCTCATCATAATTCAGTTTGCTCGTCAGTAAAGTTCTTTTTTTTTATTATAATTAAATTTGTTCGTCAGTAGAGTCCTTTTATCATATCGTAATTCAGTTTGGTCGTTAGTAGAGTCCTTTTTCCATTATAATGGAGTTTGCACGTCAGTAGAGTCCTTTCTTCCTCATTTTTAGTTTGTTCATCAGTAGAGTTTTTTTTTAATTGATTTTTGATTTGCTCATCAATAAAGTTCCTTCTTTTATTTTTAATTTGCTCGTCAGTAGAGTCCTTTTTTCCGATTACAATTCAATTTATTCTTCTCATCATAATTTAGTTTGCTTGACAGTAGAGTTCCTTTTCTCTCTTACTTTAATTTGCTCGTCATTAGAGTCCTTTTCTCATTATAATTAAGTTTATTCGTAGGTAGAAATATTTCTTCATGTTATTTTAGTTTGCTCGTTAGTAGAGTTCTTTTATTTCACACTCAAAATATACTTGAGACTTGTTCGAGGAAAATAAAAAAATGATACAATCAGTCCTAATTTTTGATTATGATTGAGTTTGCTCGTCAGTATAATCCCTTTTTTTAGTTTAGCTCGTCCTTTTATCCTTTCAAGTTTAATTTTGCTCGTCAGTAGAGTCCCTATTGCATTCATTTTTATTTTGCTCGTCAGTAAGGTCATTTTTTCTCATAATTCAGTTTGTTCTTCAGTAGAGTTTTTTTAAATTTATTTTTAAAATTGCTCGTCAGTAGAGTCCCTTTTCTCTCTTATTTTGTCATCATAATTGCTCCACAATGAAGTTCTTTTTAAACTCACTTTTCAGTTTGCACGTGAGTAGAGTCCTTTTTAAATTCATTTTTAACGTGCTCGTCAGTAGAGTTCTTTTTTCCTCGTTTTTAGTTTGTTTGTCAGTAGAGTCTCCTTTTCTTTCAAGTTTAATTTTAAAATGTCAGTATAGTTCTTTTTAAACTAATTTTTCAGTTTGCTTGACAATAGAGTCCTATTTCTCATCATAATTGCTCGACAGAAGAGTTCTTTTTAAACTCACTTTTTAGTCTGCTCGTTAGTAGATTCCCTTTTAAATCCATTCTTAATGTGCTCGTCAGTAGAGTTCTTTTTTTTATCATGATTCAGTTTGTTCGTCAGTAGGGTTCTTTTTCCCTCATTTTTATTTTCTTGTCAGTAGAGTTCTTTTTATCATTATAAGTCAATTAGAGTCAATTTTTGTATTTTATTTTAATTTGCTCCTCAGTAGAGTCCCTTTTCTTTAGTTTTCAGTTTGCTCGTCAGTAGAGTCCTTTTTCCATTATAAATAATGTTATCGTCAGTAGTCAGTTTGCTCGTCAGTAGAGTCCCTTTTAAAATCATTTTCAGTTTGTTTGTCAGTAGAGTCCCTTTTAAATTCATTTTTATTCATTAGTAGAGACTTTGCCACATCATAATTCAATTTGTTCTTCAAATATACTTGAGACTTATTTGAGGAAAATAAAAAAAAATACAATTGTTCTGGTAAAAATGATTATAATTACTAAATATATATATACACACACAAATAATACATATATATATTTATCCAAAATCGGTACCAAACGATTCAGAATGACTTGGAAAAGATTTTCTAAAAAAAAAAATATTTACTTACTAAACAAATAAAAACAACTTTAAATTTAGTTTCAACACATATAATACTTTTTCTTAAATTCAATGTCAAACGATTCAGAATGACTTGGGAAAACAATTCTGGCTCATAAAATTGTAATTGTTTGTAATATTAGGTTGTCAAATATCTCCCTTCCGCTTTTTTGCTCTTGGTTTATAATATAAAAAGGCGGAAGGGAGATATTTGACAACCTAATATGTGAAA